CCTAGGGTGACCAGATGTCCCAATTTTTATAGGTACAGTCCCGATTTTTGGGTCTTTTTCTTATATAGGCTCCTATTACCCCCCACCCCCGAACCGATTTTTCATACTTGCTGTCTGGTCACCCTATTGTGACCAGATACTCAATACAATTAATATTAACAAGGGGAAAGGAATACAAGTCAAAATAGGGAAAGAATAGGTTAAAATATTTACATAAGTTAGGTGTATTCAGGTTGGTAGGGCCTGATGAAATTCACCCTAAGGTGCTCAAGGAACTAGCTGAAACAAACTCAGAAGCATTAGCAATTATCTTCAATAAATCATGGAGGATAGGTGAGATCCCAAAGGACTGAAGAAGGGAAAATCTAGTACCTGTCTTTAAAAGGGTAACCAGAGAATCATAGACTAGTTAAGGTATCTTCAATATCTGTAAAAGTACAGGAACAAATTATTGAACAATCAGTTTGTAGGCACCTGGAGGATAATAGGGTGGTGAGGAATAACGAGCATCGATTTTTCAAGAACATATTATGGCAAACCAACCTAATTTTCTTCTTTGATGGGGTTACTGGCCTATTGATGTGGAGGGCGGGGGGAAGCAGTAGATGTGTGATATGATTTTAGAAAGGCTTTTGACACAGTGCCATATGACCTTTTCATATGGAAACTAGGGAAATTCGATCTAGATGAAATTACTTGCAACCTGGGTGCATAACAGGTTGAAAAACTGTAGTCAGAATAGTTACCAATGGTTTGCTGTCAAAGTGAGAGGGTGTATCCAGTGGGATCCCACAGAGATCTGTCCTGGCCCCAATACTATTAATTATTTTCATAAATGACTTGGACAATGGAGTGGAAAGTATACTTATAAAATCTGCAGATGACACCAGCTGGGATGGTTTGCAAGTACTTTGGAGGATAAGATTAGAATTCAAAATGACTGTGACAAATTGGAAAACTGATCTGAAATTCAATAAAGACACGTGCAAAATACAAACTTAGGAAGAAAAAATCAGCTACAAAATGGGGAATATCTGGCTAGGCAGTAGTACTGCTGAAAGGGATGTTCGGATTTTAGTGGATCACAAATTGAATATCATCAGTTGCAGAAAAGGCTAATATTCTCTGGGGTGTATCAACAAGGCTGGCGTATATAAGACAGGGGAGGTAATTGTTCAGCTCTATTCTGTGCTGGGGGTGAGGTCTCGGCTAGAATACTGCATCCAGTTCTGGGCACCACACTTTAGGAAAGATGTGGAAAAAGCAGAGAGAGTCAAGAGGACAGCTACAAAACGATAAAAGGTGTAGAAAACCTGATCTTGAAGGAAAGGTTAAAAAAACTTGACATCCATAGTCTTGAGGAAAGAAGACTGAGCTGGGACCTGATAAATCTTCAAATATATTAAGGGCTGTTATTAAGAGGACCGTGATCAGTTATTCTCCATGTCCACTGATGGTAGGACAAAAAAGTAATGGGCTTAATCTGCACAAGGGAGATTTAGATTAGATATTAGGAAAAGCTATTAAGATAGTTAAGTACTGGAATGTGTTACTAAGGGAGGTCGTAGAATCCCCATCCCTTGGAGTTTTTATTTGTGTCTGTAACTGCAAACCCACCGATCTGGGTTCTCTTGCCAACAGCGCTCGAGCAGAGCGTTGTGGATGTGGCAGAAAGAGAAGTGTGTGGTAAGCCTGGTGTATTCAAGCAGATATACCTTAGCATCTGGGATCTAAATATTTATTGAATGGGTCACCTGATACCATTCCTGATGCCCTGAGGGGAAGCAAAACACTCCTGCCTATTGTGGAGGAGAGAAGGGGGGGGGTGAGCATTTGCTGCCCCTGTCGTTCTGATATAATAGGGTAGGGACTTCTGCTGCAGTCATTCCAAGTGTGGGAAATAGGGTCATGACGCAATGGAAAAGCCGTGTGTGTGTGTGTGTGTGTGCGCGCGTGTATGTCTGTCCATGGTGTGCATCGAGCCGAGATTGCCTTAATACAGCTATGGAAACATCTGATGAACCTCCTAGGGATATTATTTTGTGTCAAAACTTGATTCATTGGCCCCAGTATCATGAGCGATCCCATCAACAACTTCTCCTTGGGGCAGGGGTAGACAGTGATAGTCTAGAAAGCTACATGTGCTCTACCACTCCCAAATCAATCAGGAATCACTTGACTGAAGCCTTAAACAGAATGAACACTGTTAGAGAAACCTCATCAAGACTCAAATGGATTCTGCTTTCTAAAATAAGGAGGACTTCCAGGTAGGGAAATCCACAGTGCAAGGTATTGCACAGTAGACCCTTAAAGTCTACATCCTGGAGATAAAGGCTGTCAAATTACCCATGACAAACCTTATCTCCCTCTCCCAGAAGTGTTGGGGTACACTACACACGTACAATACTGCTGTTGTATTGTACGTAATCAGAAAGATAGCCAAGAACCAAGCCTGCTGTTGAAAAAAGACAATGGATCTCTTTGCTCAGGCAGAGAATATCTTATCCATTGGAACCCTTCATGTTCAAAAGTCACACTTACTAGGAGGCTGACTGTTTGAACAGAACAGATCCTGTGCCTATGGGAACAGTCCC